CACTGTCTCAACATGTATATATTTCTCTTTGTTTCAGCTGAAAGGGAAGACCAAAGGAAGGCCTGTCATGGGATTTGAATGTGGCCATACTGTGCGTTTACAGAGAAGACTAAAAGCTGCAAAGGCAAACACTTCCAACGGTACGTCTGTGTTGGTCTGAGCACCTTGATTGAACTGTACTGCAGTTACATTTGCACAGCATTTGATGTCTCTTTAACTTTGGTTTACATAGCCCATCAGGAAGAACACTCAACAAAGTGTCATGTAGAATTAGTAATAATTCATTCAATTTACCAAGTCAGCAAATTCATATGATATTGTACAAGCGTACTCATACAAAATTCTACGACTTTTACCCCTGCTGTCATTAGCCATTGCCTCAACTCTCATGCAGATTGTGCCCATTGTAAGTAGTCAGAGTGTTTGTATCATGAAGTTTATATTAAGTCCATTGTATTCTTTATTAACCTTTACAAATTGGCACAGCGTCTTCCCGTTCCAACAGTACATGATATCTGTCCACACCTCATAGTCTGCCTTTCTTTCCGTGTTGATTTTTATTGAACACATCTGTCTAGGAAGCAAGAGTCTGGAAATGACAAGTTTACCTTGTCATGTGATAAATCAGATCTTCAATTAATTTGGCCAAATCAGATCACTTAAAGGTGTTTACACCAAGAACAAGAAATATAATGGTAAATATTTTAGCATCCACATCAACAGATAATAATGGTCTGTTTATTGTTATACACGCTGCAGTTACAGAATGTTGTTGTCTGCTGTTTGTTGTTGTCAATGTTTTTATTGTTCATCAGCTGGAAAAATCTGTTCTGAAAGAGATTCCAATGATATTGTTCCTCTGTGTCCTTAAATGTTAAATAGCTGCAGTGTGGACTCATCCTTGGTGTGAAGAGGCCTTTAAACTGCTTACAACAATACCGACAGCATGTAATCATATTTAAAATAATTCATATTAATATAGCATGCTATTGAAGAATACAGCTTTTTCTAATGCTGCTTTCCCTTCATTCTGTTAAACTTACACACAAAATTGTTCCTTTCTCTGCCTATTTCTCTTCATCTTATTCCTTTACTCCGTCACTCACTTACACATTTTTTTGTACACTGTTGTAAGGTAGAAACTGAGAGTTTGCATGCTGGCCTTTTCTCATACTTTGAATCTGATGTATACAGATGAACTCAGGAGCCTGCGAGAGTTGCCAGGGAACTTGAGCTTGAAGTTTACTATTATAATGGCTTAATTTATGATTAAACAACAGTAATAATTAAACATGGGGTCAATAGATATTTTCTTGTTTTACAGCTGAAGACCAAAAACGCAAAAAAAAGTCACAGCAAGCCGGTCAAACCAGTCCTTATGAATGAGGAATGAACATGGCCTTCTTGTGCCCAAACAGAAAGACAGAGAGCTGAAAAGTTGCACATTTCCATTGGTATGTCTGTATTCAAGCAATGCAGTAATGTGTGGTACAGCATTGATGTTGATCTCTCAAAAGCAGCAGTTATAGTTACTTCAAGTCAGCAGTTATCATTTTTCGCATATACATCTGTTTATAGCTCCTAGCAAATCAGCTGTGCATCATCTCTGGAATTTGGGCAGGAAATGACTGAATATGGTGAGTACTGACACCTGCACCTGTATTCACCAACACTGTTTCTCTAGAGTTAATGTTGACTTATTGTTTTGTCTGTTTGTTTGAAGGAGGATGTAGCCAGTTGATGAAGATATCAATTCAATGGCCACCAAGTGCAGCACTGCTGCCTGAACCCATCAGTTATCTGCTGTGAAGACTGCATTCGCAAACAGCTCTACTGTGACAGCTCAGATGTTACGGCCCATAAAAGTAAATTTCACAACTGAACAACTGCAAGATAGTTGTGGAGGGATTCTTTTGGCCCATACCTCCAACAACCTCCCAACTAGAACCAATGGTAAGTCAAGTGCAACAATTATAAATAAAAATACTAAATATTGTTTATTGATTTACCACACCCTAAATACATGTTTTGTCCCTCCAGGACATCTACACCAGGTGATGTGTGAGGAGGACCGTCAGAGACTCCAGCCACCCGAGCTATGGATTGCTCTCACCGTTACCATCAGGCAGAAGTTATCGCAGAACCTTCACAGAGCCGAGACAAGTTCTTTCCACAGGCAATCAGACTGAACTGAACTCGTACCAGTAACACCACACACAGCCCACCAGCCTCATATGCACTGCACTCTATCACTTACACTGACTGGACTCTGACTTTCTGTTTGCACTAATTCATACCGTGCTGCACTGCAAAGGTATATGTGTACTGTCATTATTGTGTTTATTATTGTTTTCATTTCACGCTCTCTGTATAGCATAATATTTACCATATATTGTTCTCTACCTGTATTGAGTCCCTTATGTGTGTTGCATATATATATTCAATACTTTTCATCCATAATGTCATGCTGCAGTTTGCACAAAAGACTTTCACCACCTGTACACTTGCGTTCATGATATTGTGACAATAAAGTGATTTGATTTGAATTGGTCACATCTTTTGTTCGTCAGTTGTACTGTAGGGTGCTGGATAACAACTGCAAATTGTTTAAGTCAAGCAAGAGGAAGAAAACCAGGAGAGCTCTGATGATGAGAAGGAAACTGGATATGATTCTTTGGTGCTCGAGACATTTCACCATACATGCATTTGGGTGGCTTCATCTGATTAAAATAACATGGTTTTAACATAACCCATTTTTATTTATTTTTTTAAATATGATTTTTCTTTATATGCTACTTTAGCTGTCTTTATGATGTATCCTCCAGTAAAGTATTGTACATGGTGTTGGAAAATAAAGTATGGTGAATATTCTGTATTAGGGAT